ATATGTGAACTGCTGTATGGAAAGTGAATTTGCTCTGTAAATCTTCACCCAAATCACAATAAATAAAATAAAAAATAAATAAATAAATAAAAAACAGGAGTAACCATGTGCTGCAAAGTCACCGTCTTTCTTCAGTTCTGGGATCCCGATTTTACATGTTACTAAAATGGCACAAAACTCATGAGAAAACAACATAATGAATTAACAGACACTTGAGAAATATTACTAAACCATTTTTAATGAACTATTACTACAAAGAACTTTAGTAGGGAGGAAAGATAAAGTTTAGTGATCTTTCAGTAAACATTTTTTTGTGTAACAGTCTTTGTGACCAGGTATTTTTTAAAAATCAACCTTATGAACACCACTGCTGTTTCATCAACTGGTGTACATGAAAAATAGGATAAGGATTGGAAATACATGTTCTTAAAGCATTTCCACAGGAAATTTTCATATTTTTCATGACATTCCAAATCATTTAGTAATTACATATTCTGCATTAACTACAACACAGGTAGGTATTCTTTATTGCACATTTCAAAGTTGTATGGAGGTGCTAGCTTAAGAATTGGTCTTTATTTGGGGGGAGGGATTATATTCTTGAATTGTTTGGTTCAAAAACGCACACTGCCAGGGCAGCTTAGTTCTAAAAACAAACCTTTAAAAATAAACTTTTGGATTTTGAAGCCAGTGAAATCTCTTACTGTACCAATAGTGCATAGTCTTTCTCTGGGGTTACGTATCAGAGGTCAGAGTTACGGGCTCTGTTTGAAAGCCTGTGAAGAGTCCTGGCTACAGCTCTGAGAGGCAGATGGGGGCTCATCTCGAGAGCCTGAAGGCAGCAAGTCTTTTGCAGCAGGAGAAGGTGGAAAATCCTGGGGGCCATACGTTGGGGGTGGTAATCGTGTCCCAGGAATAAAGTACTCTCTTGGGCCTGAAGGTCTAAAAGGCGCATGTCCTGGCATAAATTCTCGAGGATCAAGAGGCAGGTCCCGCCTTCCAGGTGGAATGCTCGGTGCATATTCTCTTAAGCCTAGTGGTGGATGCAACCCAGGACCTAGATAAAGAAAAAAATAAGTCATGTAAGTATGAAACTAATTTAAACTAAGATGATTTCAGGCATGTTAATACAGTCTTCAATTTTGCATAACCCTAGAAATTATGTGAGGAGCTGTGGTGGTATAGTGGATAAGGCATTTGGCTACAAAGTAGGAGGTCAGCAGTTCAAAACCACCAGCTGCTCTGTGGAAGGAAGATGGGGCGATCTACTTTCATAAAGATTTCCAGCCTTGGAAACCCAGTGGGGGGTTGCTATGAGTTGGAATCAACTTGATGGCAGTGAGTGTGTGTAGGTGTGTAAAGAAATCAGGTGGTAGCATCCTCATTTTATAGATGAGGCAAACTTAGGCTCAGCAAGGTTAAATTGCATACCTATTGCCAGCCAGCCACAAAGCAACAGAGGTAGATTGAAACATGGTTCTACCTAGCTCTAGACTTTTTTCCACTATGCAATTCTGCCATCTTTATCTCACAATAGCTTGGTTTGTACTTGGAAGTACCATATATACCAAGACAATATATTATGAAATAAGGGTTTTTCCGTGCAACAAAGACATTAAAAAAGGAAATTCCACTTTCTACTACTGTTAGCAATTAAACATTGATGCAGCAGCTCAGCGCGGACTAAAATGTGCTATCAAAAATCAATCTGCTTGTCAGCCATTCAAAGCATGACAGACAGTGAGTCTATTTGTCTGGAGTAACAGAGGAAGAAGAGGAGCCTGGAACAGTTAAAAGAATATGATGTTGTTGTTATTTGCCGTCAAGTCGAACCCAACTCATAGAGACCCCTCCTTGGGTTTCCGAGGCAATGTCACTACGGAAGTAGATTGCCCAAGCTTCCTTCCGAGGAGTGGCTGGTGGATTTGAACCGCCAGCCTTCTGGTTAGCAGTTAAGTGCTTTAGGCACTATGCTACCAGAGCTCCCGAAGAATATATGTAGTTAATTGCCTTCATGAACAGCTGCCTCCTTTGCCCTAAGACCAGAAGAACTGGATGGTGTCTGGTACCATTACTGAACGTTTTGATCAGTGATTCCATAGTAGAATCCTGATCAAAAGGGGAAAATACAGAACAGAATTTCTAATTCTCATGGATTCCAGATCCCTGGAGCCATGGAGGGTAGGTGAACCCTTGAAAGTATTGTCGTGAGATCATCTTTGAACCTTAAACCAAAAATATCTGCTAAAGTTATCTTAAAACTCAATAATAGTTTAGCTTAACTAGTGAAAAAAGGTGTGCTTTGAGCATTACACTTTTTTAAGAACTGTCTATAAGGCGCTTTGGTGGTGCAACGTTTAAGGCTTCTGGCTGCTAACCAAAAGGTTGGTAATTCGAACCCACACCAGCTGTTCCACAGAAGGATGAGGCAGTCTGCTTCCATAAAGATTTATAGCTTTGGAGACCCAATAGGGAATCAACTTGGCAGTGAGTTTGGTTAGGTATATGGGATATCAAAGTGACAACAGCTACACAGGAAATTTAGGGGGCAGTGGGTTTATGTTAGGGGAGGAAAAACTCAGAGAAGGAGGGTGAGAATGGCTGTACAACTTGAAGAATGTAATCACTGTCACTGAATTATACACGTAGAGATAGCTGAATTGGTATATGTTTTGGTGTATATATTCTCAATAACAAATCAAGCTGCTTACCCTGCTGGGAATGGCCTTCTGGCTCTATCCAATTAAATTCACATCCATTAAGTAACTTAAGTCTATCTTCTTTTTAATACTTGCCCCCTTCCATTTATTTCCAAATAGGGAGTGGGCATTTGATTTCTGTGACTCACTGCTTATGTTTCCAGTATGGGTGATTATAAGCTTTATGTTATATATAGGATGTCTTAAGCTCTTAGAGTTACGGGACATGTCCTATCTACTTTTCTTTTATAGAACATCGTATATAGCCAAATATGGTCTACTAAACATCTGTAGAACTGATATTCCTGGCTTTTTAGGAACAGCCCCTTTCCTTGTCTGTAAGAGATACATGCCATCCACTGTAGTATAGGAAGATTATGCAGCACCCTAGGCATCTTATGAAATGGAAAGTTATAAAGCTGCAATAGCAACTTCATAATCTTTCAGCAAGGAATAGAGAGAAAAGATTAATACACTTTCTAAGTCAATTACTACAGTTTAGATCATCATACCAAACGGTGGCGGGAACGGCCGAGGCCCAAAAGGCCTGCAGAATTGAGGAGGCGGTCCATATCGAATGGGTGGTGGGACAGGGCCTCCCACAGGAGAGCTCATGAAGGGCATTCCTGGGAAAGGAGGGGGCCCTCTTGCAGCTATATTAACCTGCAGGAGAGAAGCAGTTCAAGTTCTAAACTTAAGTATGACAAACAAAAGCACCAACACCAATAAAAGCTGAAAGTCAATGAAGCAAATGACAGGCACCTGGCACCTCTTCACTAGGTTTACACAGAGCATAATCCCTATAGCACCTTTGCCCCTTCCCTTGCCTCCACTGACAGCTTAGGTTAAAATGATGGCAGGAGTAAACAGTTTCACCATTCATGTTAATTCCTATATCTGTAAATGAAGGAAAAGCAAGAGGACTGTCAAAGAATATTAGGAGAGCTAAATCCCAACTAATGGTAACTGTCACCATTCAGACTGCCATCTATTTCTAGGATAGCCCTTCTTCCCATCACCATTATTTCCATAGTGAATACAGAGAGTTAAAGAGAGTGAAAAATCCATTCTCTACAAATGTACTAACAGCTAACTAGTCAATGTACCTTCCATAGGCCTTTCATATATTACCTCTAATTCTCAGATTTCTGAATCTCTAAGCATGACTATCCTATTTAAAATACAAGGGAACAGGGGCACAGAGAATTAGATAATTTGCTCAAGGTCACACAGCATGTAAGAGGCTGAACTGAAATTCAATACTACCCTCTTTGCACTTCTGCTTCCTCTCTTTGACAAAGGGGTCCGTACTCTCTGTAGAAGCTACCCTTGGTCAAAAGGCTCTCTCTGAGATGTGTATTCCTCGAGTCCTGAACTGGAACTTGCAAAGTATTTTCCAACAGAGACAATGTTACATATGCAAGTTAGGCACAGCTTTAATATTGATCTTCATTTACTAGTAATACTATATTATTATGAGTGACTGAAAAACAATCATTTCCTATGGGAAAATGGATTGGAAATCCTAAATAAATTAAATCTAAAATTTATTTAATTTCAAAATGGAAAAGCACTCTGAAGTAAGATCAGGGAAACTTACCAGCTATAATATGTACAGAGGCTACAAGAAAATACACTGCGTGAACATAACTTAAGTAACTGCTTCAATAGGTAACCACAGATTTTCACTATTTAGTATTTCATTTCCAACAAGCATTCTTTTAAAATCTAATTTCACACCATTCAAGATAGGATTCACCTAGTACATTTAGAGGGATTCTGAAATAGTACACTTCCAAACAAAGATAAAATAATGATGAATTATATAATTTATTAGTAGGCAATTTCCTTGCCCGAGAGCATTCAACCCTGAAGCATACAATATAAAGTGGGGGTGATGACTTTTCACATTGTTTAGGTAGGCTAATTAGAGCAGACGTTCTAAGCAGGTTAATTACCTAACAAAACAGGAAAGAGGAGGAAAAAACCAACCAACCAATCAGATTTCAGTAACCCACCAACACTTCCAAGCCAAGGAAAACATTAAGAGCAATACTGCCATGCAATTTAAAGCAATGAAGATTAGTGTCATGCTCCTCATATCCTTTCCAGAAATACACCAAGTAGAAGCCGAGTTCAGTCCTCAGCCTCTAAGTACTTACTGCTACTGGATGTTCAGTCAAAGATGTAATGCTGGGAACTGAGGGGCCTTCAGGCTCTTGGGGAACAGTTTGCTTTTTAAAAAATAAGTCGGTACAAATATAACAGGGCACACAAATGAGGGATGAGGCAAGGAGAGGGTGTTGTAGAAAAAGCTGAACGTTTCCTGAAACATCTAAGTACAATTCCAAATGACTGCACAACTTACTTTGCCCTCCTCCATCACATTCGGTGAAGACCTTCTTGAGCTGCTGTTCATCATGGGAGCTGCACCAGCTCCAGGATCTGTTAAAGGCCAAAGAACTGACTTAGATTTATTCTGATTCATATACTCTGTGAGGAAGAATACAAAATCTTCCACACCTTCTTCCATAATTTGAAACTCTGGACACACTTAGATCCCTCCCTTACCAGAGGGAGAGGGCTTCCCAGATGCTTCAGATGGCCACTGAGGGCGAGGCAGAGGTCCATCCATTGGCCCTTGAGAAAGAAACAACAGAGCCTTTGTATGTATATTTCAGAAGTAATAAACCAATTGTGGGGAAGTTAGGAGTCAACTCCACTATAAAGCAACATTAAAAATGGGTCTCCCAATACATGTAATGGTAATCACTTATAATTCAAGCACAAACTGTGAGGCCTGAGTCCTAATGGCCTCCAGGTATATCTTTAACCAGAAGTCTTTCAGTGTGGGGGATTCTAACACTCCCCATGCCTCAGGGCTTTTATCTACCGGACTCAGCATGTCCTGAAGTCTCCCACATATCAGGGCTCTGCATTCTCCCTAGATAATAATTCCCTAAGTACACTTTGGAGCTGGGGGATTCCAACACGTCCCCCAACATCTCAGATCCCTGCCCTAAACCCCTTAGCAACAACCAGTCATCTGTACCCCTTTGCCCTGGTGCTACTCCACCCCATATTTTCCTATAAAAGTGTGATAGTGAAGGAGCACGAGGTCTTTTGCCTTGGCCACTGCGTTGGCAAGAGCAGGGACCCTAGCTTGAGCTAGCAAATAAACTTTCCTTTTGCTTTTGCATCGTCGTGTGTTGGCAAATTCCTCGCGCTGAACAACTCCTTCATTAACTGGGCCCAACAAGACTTAAAGAATTAAATTAAGAACTGCCTTGCGTTGGAAAAACAACAAATGCTGCATATTAATAACACTGGTTTCACATTTCAAACTACAGGCTCAATACAATTCTTTGGCCTCCCCACCCAAGTCTATATCTTACATCCATATCTTCACAAGTTTTATATAAATATTTATGACTATAAATCGATTTATAACAATGTTATAATAATGACATATGGAAGTATGCATGCTACATTAAGTTTTAGGGCTTTGATAGTATTAGGGAGAGGAAACTCCTAGAAACTTAAAGGCTTATACTTCATGATAAAAAAATTAAAAATAAAAACCAGAGGAACTCCCAGAAAAGTAGTATTAACAAATGCTCTCTATTCTATAGCTGATCTTTCAGTAGACTATGAATTTCCTTCTCTATTCTGGACAGAACCAAATTCTAAAATATTGTTTTTATTAGGATTCTCAAATAAAAGCTCTTGAAACAGTTTATTGCAAGGAACAATATGAATGCTCACCAAATTCATTTCTCGGCATATCTCTGTGAGGGAGAGTTGCAGAGAGGGGCCTCACAGGCGGGTCTGCTGTCAGCGGAGGGGAGCACTCACCGGCACTCACTGGGGATGGGCCAAATGAGCCGTTCTGGCTTAGAGGACCTGAAAAATAAACTGCCATGTTACCACTTTTAAGACAGCCTTTTTTCTTTTAGTAAGTACCTGGGATTCTTTCTAGGGCATCACAATTATTATATACAGAAACAAAAAGTAATCAATACACATTTTACACCAAAAAAATTAGACTGCTACCCTTTACAAAGTGCCCCCTGTACCTCTTGATGGGCGGTTTTGTGAATTAGGTCTTCCTGGCATTGGTTTTACAATCACAGGTTCTTCCTTTTGCACTGACAACTTTTCGGTTAATTCCAATAATCTTGAATATAGAGAAAGAACTGACTTAAATATATGAAGTAGAATAACAATGTCTTTGATAGACAGAAAACAGCATAGCCTGACAAACACTAACATGCACTGAAAAAGTATGTATTAAAACTGCATACTTTTGCCTTAAGTTGGCTGCTTCTCTTTTCTCGTCGGCTATAGCTCTTTCTGCAGCACGAGCTTTGAGCTATTGAAGAAAAATACCCAGGTTCAGTTGTGGTAGATTATGCACAAAATAAAGGAAAGGAAAACAAAATATCTTACCCAGTTATCATGAACTTTCTTTTCTTGAGCAGCAATCTGAAAAAGACCACACATCAAAAAATACATTTAGGAATTCATTTTAATAGCCATTATAGTGGTCTGTATTAGATATCAAATAATTCAACAACTGTAGTTTGAGAGGGCAGGAAAATTATTACCTGGTTTTTATATGAGCGCTCTGTTTTCTGTAATTCATCTTCCATTTCTTCAATTCTCTGCCTAAGAATGACATTTGCTTTTATCAGTTAAAGTACAACTAAATAAAATTCTAAAGAATTTGATCATGTTCCATGTCCTCTAATAACTGTACCCTTATAGATTTCATTCATATATACAAAACATATTTTGCATGGTTCTAGTAATAGTGCAATAGGATCAAAACTAATACTACTTAAATTCCTTATTATTTAATGGCTGGAGATTCTGAATTGATACATCAAAAATTCCTTAATTGGGCTTCACTCTGTTCTCAAATAATTCTACTATGAATCTTCGTTCATAAACTTTTTTTTCTTCTTGTAATTATATTCATAGAAAATTTCCCAGAGCTATGATTACTGGGTCTATCAAATGGCATGATCATATTTATGGCTTTTGATACATCTCACAACAAATTGCTTTCCTAAAAGATGATGCAATATACAAACTCACCCAGAACAGTTTGCATGAACCAAATTCCCTTACAGTCTTGCCAGCACTGGGTCTAACGAAATTTTTGTTAACACTTTTTCATTTGTTCACTTGAAATTTCTTTTTTTCTCTAGTGTGAATTGAATGTATTCTTGTTCTTTGACCATTTGTGTATGTAAAAAGTTAACAAAACAAAACAAAGGCAATAGTAGTTTAATTAGCCACTGACATCCTCTTTGGAAACTGAACTCACTTGTAACTTTTTACTTCCTCTACAGCCAAAACAGATTTTTCATTTGCAGCTGACAGCTGCTGCTCTTTTTCTCTCCGCTGGCACTCTTCTTCAATCAGTTTCCTAAGATAAACAAGAAATGAATAATATGAAACCAGTTGTCAAGGGAAAGTGTATTTTTCCTCCTCCCAAAAGTCTGCATGCCTCTATTCAAATGTCACTTCCCATCTTTATCTAAAATGCATAATAAACATATATCCAAAATCATAGTAAGGAATTCATACTTGCCATCTAGGTAAGAATCAAACTCAGACCTGTTGGCAAGTCACCTACATGTTCTAATGCCTCATAATTCTCTAGTCACTAGTGAGTAAAACAAATGTAAAAAGAGCTGTGTGCTCTAGGGGCAAGTCTCTTGTGCTTCAGATGAATGCTTATTTATTTTAAATGGAAAGCTAAAACCGATCACCCTAACACAATTATGCGTATTAGGATCGAGGGGATAATTATTTCTCTTAGGTCTACCATAGAAAGACCTGTAGTTGCTTCAATTATTCCTACTATGGAAAGACTGTTTCTCAGTCCAAGACTTATTAATCATGATAAAGATACTCAACCAAAAAAATCAAACTTTTAGAATGTCTTCTAATTGTGCAATTCACCATAACGCACTTCCACACTTCGGATATGGAACTCCTACTATGTATTTCAATGAAATCTTGATTAAAGAAAAAGGTAACTCTTCATACTGGCAATGTCTATCAAACAGCAAAACACAAAGCAGATAATCAGTGGATTATCTACTAGTTACAGGTTGTATGTACTGGATAACTTTCAAGCTCAAGCTGTCAATCTACTATAGTGGCAATATTTAATGGTTCAAAATTAAACTTCTTGTACTTCTTTGCCTATAGTTCTGAAGTTTTGATTCTAAAGATATTTAAACACAAACTTGATTTTCTACTGATGAGAAGCAAAATTAGAAGTGCTATTATAAAGAAGGTTAACAACACCAAAGAGAAAAAGGATTATGTATTCTTTCATAGCCACCTATTCCATACTGCAACAAATACTTTATACAGTGGCTACAATACACTGGTTACCTTGTAAGATGCTAAAAATATAAATATGGGTATAGTAATATCCCTGCAATAAAGGAGTTCATAGTTTAATGAATAATAGCATAGTTAATGTATAAAAGATGCAAGTAATTTTGGCTTGGGAATGGATGTAAGAATACAGACTTGGGGGGATTTCAAAAGGAAGCCTTGTCAGTAGTCACCACGCTAATGCCTTCTAGCATCTCAGTGCCTGAAAAACTAGGTATAGAAGTTTGAATTAGGGATTCTGGTGCTCTGAACAGCTGAGTCAGAGTACACCAAACTCAGGGGAGAAGGATTAGAAAGGAGAAAGGGACAGGGGAAAAAAATAACAAGAACAGGAGATCTACCCTGCGGAGCGCCGACAGGCATGCAAGAAAGGCTATCTGAGACCTCCCTGGGTTAAGGAAGAAGACACACCATAACAGCATACCAGCAATCACCCCAAGGATCCACCTTCAGCACCTGATTTTATCGGTCACTTGGGTCAGCTGAGTGCGAGTGGACACTTCCAGCGCCACTGAAACCCAAGCAGAGAGTCCACTGGGCTGCAAGAGGGTGGGCCCGGGGAGGTGCTCCTGCAGTGGATCACTGAACAGCCTTAGGTCAGCTTTTTGGCACTGAGAGGCCCGCACTTGACTTTTATCAGTAATACTAGGACCACTGGGTGAGAATGGGCACTGCCCTGACTCCAGTGCCGCTGAAACTGAGTAGATCTTTGGGGCCGCAAGTGCGCGGGCCATGGGAGGAAATCCCGCTGCGGACTGCGGTATGGACCAGCGCCGCAAGTGGATGGGCCTAGAAAAGAACTCCCACGGTGGATCGCAGAGCCGGGCAGTTGTCTTGGGCTGGCTTTTTGGCACCAAGGGGCCTCGGGAGCAGAGTTTTTGCGTGTGTGTGAGCCTGGCGGAAAGTGGGGACCCCCTACCAACTGGAGTCTTTGCTGAACTTAAGCTGCCAGCCTATGTATAAGAGTACAACGTCATCATTAGCAGCCCACTCAAAGCTCTAGAAACCGCCCCTAGCAACAGGGAGCTTTCCTTCTTTCTCTCTTCTGCTCTCACCTCCGCTAATACCCTCACTCATCCAACAGAAGAAATCATATTCAGCCACCATAATACCTCCCGGTTCGAATTCTAAACACTCTTTACGACACATTCCACACAGTGATTCCATCATCACAAAGAAAACTGCAGAGCAACCCAGCATACCTGAATTAATAACTAAAAAAAGAAAATACACCAGGCTCCACCATTTCAAAATATTAAATCATAAAGCCAAGATAAAACAAATCAATACATAACCAACAGTTAAAGACAACCTCAAAATGGCTAGGAAACAAGAAGTAACCTCAAAACAAACAAACAAAAAAAAACCAGAACAAGTCATTAGAAGCAAAACCACAAACAAAGGTCTCATTAAACATGGAGGAAGAGGAGGCAATAGAATTATCTGAGAAGGAATTTAGAAGATATGTTTATAGAGATTTACAAGAGCCTAAGGAAACCCCAAACAGAAGCAAGGAGAACACAGACAGGTCCCTGGAAGAACTCAGAAAAACCATTCAAGAAGAAAGTAAGATTAATGCACAATCAGAATTCATATAAAAACAGCAGTTAGAAGTCCAGAAGATGAATACCAAAATTACTGAAATACACATATAGTAGAAGCACAAAAGAATAAGACAAAACTGGCTGAAGAATGCATATTCCAATTAGAAGATAAATCCCTGGGCACCAGCCTGTATGAAGAAAAACCAGAACAAAGATTTAAGAGAAATGAAGAAAACCTAAGAGTTACATGGAATGATATGAGAAAAAACAACATAAGACTCATTGGAATTCCAGAACAAGAAGAGACCAAAAAAAAAAAAAAAAAAAACCACCAAGAAAATTGTGGAAGACCTACTAACAGAAAACTTCCCCTACATCAAGAAGGAAGAAGAGATATTTGTCCAAAAAGCTCATAGAACCCCACACAAGATAGATCCCAAGAGAAAAAACAAAGACAAAGAAAAAATTTTGAGAGCTGCCCGGGACAAAAGAAATATTACTTATAATTATCAAACAGTTAGGCTGAGCTCCGTACTCAGCAGAAACCATGCAGGCAAGAAGGCAATGGGACGGCATATATAAAACACTGAAGGAAAATAACTTCCAACCAAGAATCCTATATCCAGTCAAATCATCCATCAAATATGAAGCGAAATCAAGGCATTCCCAGACAAACAGAAATTAAGGGATTCTGTGAAAACCAGACCAACCCTACAAGAAATGCTTAAGGAAGTCTTTCCAGTAGAGAACCCACAACAAAAACCAACAGAATCAGGATACATGGCATCAACACTAAAACCAAATCAGAAATAGAAACTCAAAATAAGACCATAAAACATTGTACACTAAAAACCAAGGAAGTCAATCAGCACACAATAACAGCAGGAAATAAAACTTCTAGATATAAACTTCCAAATGGGGAGGAAAACAGGACAATGTTTTCATAGAACGCACTGTTCTAAAAATGTGGAGACAAGAATGTACTCCAAGGTAACCACAGAGAAAATTAACAATCCCCCTAAGCAAATCCAGAAGGAAGGAAAACATGGGTTTAATAAGCACAAAACCAACAATAGAGAGGAAGCATTTGGCAACAAACCGAACTCAGCACAGAAAAGTATATGGATCAAGGAAATACCAACAACACAACAAAAAAACACAATAGAATGACACCAATCAATTCATACCTATCACTAATTACACACAATGTGAACAGACTAAACGCACCAATCACGAGAAAGAGAGTGGCAGATTGGATAAGAAAAGAAGACCCATCAATATGCTGCCTAGAAGGCAATGGTAATCAAAAAAGAGCAGGAATGGCAGCATTAATTTCTGATAAAATAGACATTAAGGTAAAAGACATCATAAGAGACAAAGAAGGACATTATATGATGGTGAAAGGGTCCACTAACAAAGAAGACGTTATGATACAATAATAGGTATTTATGCACCCAACTTAAGTGCTCCAAAATACGTGAAGCAAGTATTAACTGAATTAAAAGGGAAAATAGACAACTCTACAATAGTAGTAGGAGGCTTTAATACACCACTTTCAAAAAGGGACAGGTCAACTAGAAAAAAGAGGGACAGGTCAACTAGAAAAAAACTCAACAAAAATACAGAAGAACTCAACAATACAATCAACCAACTCAACCTCATAGACATATACAGAGCATTTCACCCAACAAACGCACAATTCACATTCTTCTCCAGTGCACATGGATCCTTCTCCAGAATAGACTATATATTAGGACATAAAACAAGCCTTAATAAATTAAAAAGCACTGAAATACTACAAAGCATCTTCTCAGACTACAATGCCATAAAATTAGAAATTAATAATAGGAAGATCAGGGAAAAAGCATCAAACATATGAAAGCTGAACAATTCACTGCTCAAAAACTACTGGGTAATAGAACAAATAAAAACTGAAATAAAAAAATTCCCAGAAACAAATGAGAATAAAGATACGTCATACCAAAACCTATGGGACACAGTGAAAGCAGTAACTCAGAGGACAGTTTATAGCGATAAATGAATACATCAAAAAAGAGGAAAGAAACAAAATCAACACTAACTCATCAACTCCAACAACTAGAAATAGAACAACAAAAGAATCCTACAGTATATAAAAGTAAGGAAATAATAAAGATCAGAGCAGAAATAAATGATACGAAAACAAAACAAAACAAAACAAAAAGCTAGTTCTTTGAAAAGATTAATACAATCGATTAAACCATTGTCAGATCTAACAAAAGAAAAGAAAGAGAGGATTCAAATCACAAGAATTATAAACAAAAATGGTGTCATCACAACAAAAACAACTGAAATAAAAAGATACTGACAGAATATTATGAAAAACTGTATTCCAACAGATTTGAGAACCTAGAAGAGATGGACAAGTTTCTAGAATCACAAGACCTACCTAAACTATCCCATTCAGAGATAGAATACTTGAACAGACCTA